TCCGATCAAGGCATTTTTCATCATGTCCATAGAATCATAGAATGATCTGTGTTGGAAGGGACCTCAAAGATTATCTAGTTCCAAATCCCTGCCATGGCAGGGACATCTCTCACTAGATCAGGTTGCTCAAGACTCCATCCAGCCTGGCTTTGAACACCTCCAGGGATGGAGCATCCACGACTTCCCTGGGCCACGTGTTCCAGTACCTCACCACCCTCAGGGTAAAGAATTTCTTCCTTGTATCTAGTCTAAACCTACATTCTGCCAGCTTCCACCCATTACTCCTCATCCTGTCACTACAGGCCCTTGTAAAAAGGTCCTCCCCAGCCTTCTTGTAGGCCCCCTTTAGGTACTGGAAGGCCCCTTTAAGGTCTCCCCAGAGCCTTCTCTTTTTCAGGCTGAACCAGACTAACTCTCAGCCTGTCCTCATAGGAGAGATGCTCCAGCCCTCTGACCATCTTGGTAACCCTCCTCTGGGCTTACTCCAACAGCTCCGTGTGTTGAGGGCTCCAGAGCTGGACTCAATATTCCAGGTGGCGTCTCAGAAGGGCAGAGCAGAGGGGCAGAATCATCTTCCTTGACCTACTGGTCACACATCTCTTAATGCCATCCCAGGGTATGGTTGCCTTTCTGTGCTGAAAGCGCACACTGTTGGCTCATGTTGGTCTTATCATCCACCCAAATCCTCCCTAGGACTGCTCTCAATCCATCCATTGCCCAGCCTGTATCTGTGCTTGGGTTTGCCTCAACCCAGGTGTAGGACCTTACACTTGGCCATGTTAAACTTCAGGAGGTTGGCCTGAGCCCACCTCTCAAGCCTGTTGAGGCTTGCATCCCTTCTCTCCAGTGTGTCAACCGCACCACACAACTTTGTGTTGTTGGCAAACTTGCTGAGGGTGCACTCGACACCACTGTCCATGTTGCTGATAAAGATGTTAAATAGTACTGGTCTCAGTACTGATCCTTGAGGGACACGACTCATCACTGGTCTCTGCTTAGACATTGAGACATTCACCACAACTCTTTGAGTGCGATCTTCCAGCCAGTTCCTTATCCACCAAGTGGTCCATCCATCAAATCCATGGCTTTCCAACTTGGAGACCAGTGTCGAAGGCCTTGCACAAGTCCAGGCAGATGCTATCAGTTGCTATTCCCTTGTCAATTGATTCTGTTACTCCATCATAAAAGGCTGCCAGATTTGTCAGACTGGATTTTCCCTTGATGAAGCCATGTTGGTTGCCACCAGTCACCTCCACGTTTTCCATGTGCCATAGCAGAACCTTCAGAAGGATCTGTTCCATGATCTTGCTAGGCACAGAGGTGAGACTGACTGGCCTGTAGTTGCCTGAGTCTTCCTTTTTTCACTTTTTGAAATTGGGGGTGATGTTTCCCCTTTTTCAGTTAGTGGGCGCTTTACCATACTGCTGTAACCTCTCAAATATGTTAGAAAGCAGCCTAGCAACTTCGTCTGCTAGTTCCCTCAGGACCTATGGATGGATCTCATCAGGTCCCATGGACTTGTACACCTTCAGGTTCTTAAAGTGATCTTGAACTTGATCTTCACTTACAGTGGGCAGATTTTTCTTTTCCCAGTCCCTGCCTTCAACTTCTACAACTTGGACAGTGTGGCTAGAGCCCTTGCCAGCGAAGACAGAGGCAAAGAAGTCATTGAGAACCTCCACCCTCTCCATATCCTTCATGACTAGCTCTCCTGTTGCCTTCTGGAGAGGGCCCACATCTTCCCTAGCCTTCCTTTTATTACTAACATGCCTATGAAAGTTTTTATTGATACTCTTGATGTCCCTGGCTAGATTTAATTCTATCTAGGCTTTAGCTTTCCTAATCTGATCCCTGGCTGCTCAGACAACTTCCTTGTATTCTTCCCAGTCTACCTGTCCTTTCTTCCACTTTCTGTAAATTCTCTTTTTATCTTTAAGTGTGTCCAGGAGCTTCTTGTTCATCTGTGAAGGCCTCTTGACGTTCTTGCCTGCCTTCCTCTTTTTTGGAATGCATTGCTCCTGGGCATGGAGGAGGTGGTCCTTGAAAATGGACCAGCTTTCTTTGGCCCCGCTCCCCTTCAGGGCTTCATCCCATGGTACTCCACTAAACAGATGCCCCGAAGAGGTCGAAGTCTGCTCTCTTGAAGGCCAAGGTGGTGAGTTTGCTGCACAAGGTGCTGGAGTGGGTGCAGAGAAGGGCAATAAGGCTTGTGAGAGGTCTGGAAAACATGCCCTATGAAGAGCGACTGAGGGAACTGGGTTTGTTTAGTCTGG